CTGTTAACCAGAATCTGCTAACCAAAATCAATGTATACAAATCAGTAGCATGTATAATGCCAATGACAGTCAAGCTGAAAACCAAATTAAAGACTCTATTGTCATGCACAGTAGGAACAAAGAAATACTTAGGAATATATTTACCTAAGGAGGTGAAATACCTCTACAGGGAGAATTATGAAATACTGAAGAATGAAACAGTGGAGGATATAACAGCAGATGGAAAAACATGTTATGCTCATAAATTGGCAGAATCAACACTGTTAAAATGTCTATATTGCCCAAAGTGTTCTACAGATTCAATGCAATCCTCATTAAAATATAAACATGGTTTTTTGCATATCTAGAAAAAAATAATTCTATCTTCATATGAGACCAGGAAATAATCTAAATAGCCATGACAACCTTTAGCAAAAAGAACAAATTGGGAGGCATCAATTTATCATACTGCAAGCTATACTATAAGACTTTAATAACTAAAACAGCATGGTACTGACAAAAGAACAGAGACATAGATCTATGGAGCAGAATATAAAACAAATATAAAAACATCCTCATATTGCTATCTGATACTTGACAAAACAAAAACACACATTGGAGAAAAGAATCACTATTCAATAAATGGTGCTGGAAAAATTGGATAGTCAGATGTAGAAGACTGAAACATGATCTGCACCTTTCACCACTCACAAATATGAAGTCACGATGGATAATAGACATGAAACTATAAGAATTCTATAAGAAGAATGGACATTGGCCTAGGCAAAGAATGTACAAAGGACCTAAAAGCAATCACGGCAAAAATAAAAATAAATAAATAGGATCGATCAAATGAAAAAGCTTCTGCACAACAAAAGAAACAATCATTAGAGTGAATAGACAACCTCCAGAATGGGAGAAAATATTTGCATTCTATACATCTGATGAAGGGCTGCTAACTAGAATCTACAAAGAATGCAAACAAATCAGCAAGAAAAAAAATAACCCCATGAAAAAGTGGTCAAAAGACACAAACAGTAACCTCTCGAAAGAAGACAGACTAATGGCCAACAAACATATGAAAAATGCTCAACATGTCTAATAATCTGCGAAAAGCAAATCAAATCCACAATGAGGGTGGCACCTGTGGCTCAAAGGAGTAGGGCGCCAGCCCCATATACCAGAGGTGGCAGGTGCAAACCCGGCCTGGCCAAAAACAAAACAAAACAAACAAGAAAAATGAGATATTACTTAAGCCCAATGAGAAAAGCTTTTATCAAAAAGTCCCCAAAAACAAATGCTGGTGTGGATGGAAAAAGAAACACTCATACACTGTTGGTGGAAGGCAAACGAGTACAATCTCCATGGAAAATAGTATGGAGATTCCTCTAAAAAACTAAACATAGACCTATCATTCAATCTAACAATCCCACTACAAGGTATTGACCAAAAGGGAAAAAAGACACCTGCACTCAAATGTTTATAACAGCACAATTCACAATTGCAAAGATGTGGAAGCAAGTCAAGTGTCCATCAATATGTAAGTAGGTTAACAAAATGTGGTATATGTATAACATGGAATACTACTCAGCCATTATAAACAGTGAACTAATACTTTTTGTAACAACCTAGATGAAACTGGAGACCATTCTTCTAAGTAAAATATCACAAGAATGGAAAAACAAACACTCTGTGCACTCACTATTAAATTGGAACTAATTCATTAATACTTGTGTGAACATATGGAAATAACACTTATCAAATTCAAATAGGTGGAAGAGGGTGGAGGGGATATGTAAACTCACATCTCACATTAGGGTGAGTTACCA